GAGTAAGTAGCCCAGGGCGGGCAAAGGGAGCCTGCGGACTGACGCGTTGCGGCTATGGCCCCATCAGTCGGACCGGACAGGTAACACGTCCAAGTCCTTAGGGCCCTGGGCTGGGGTCCGTGAGAGAGGGTGGGCCCGGACCCCCCTCTCTCCACCAATGAGAGTAACGTGCCTGACAGATCTCGGGCAGAGGGACAATACTGTTGACTGGGATGCTGAGAAGCGATCGGGAGTGGGACAGGACCACAAGACTGATGGCCCCATCAGTCGGACCGGACAGGTAACACGTCCAAGTCCTTAGGGCCCTGGGCTGGGGTCCGTGAGAGAGGGTGGGCCCGGACCCCCCTCTCTCCACCAATGAGAGTAACGTGCCTGACAGATCTCGGGCAGAGGGACAATACTGTTGACTGGGATGCTGAGAAGCGATCGGGAGTGGGACAGGACCACAAGACTGGTGGGTGAAGGGCGGGGGCACGTTTACAGTATGTTTTAGTTATTTAAGTTTCTCTGTTTAAGTCTATTTCTCTAGTTTAGGGCTTGTTTGCTGAGAATTAACACAATCTCAATATTTTTCTGATACAATAGTGCCCAGAACTGAGTAATCCTCCCCCTACTCTGTGACTCTGAATGGACATCAGAAATACTTTAGCAAAAATGACCAATGCAACACCTTACAAACACCGTCTAATCTGTTATCCTCTATGAAACTTAGGTATGCCTCAACATTCTAGAGAGTAGTTCTCCATCTATTGATCAGTGTATTCAGATGTCGTGTCTCCCATTTCATAGGGAATTTTGTGAAATCCTAAAGCAGGGGTGGGAACCTAAGGATCTATCCCCTGAGGTTTGGGGCTCCTTCCCATCATAGCAGAGCCTGGGGTGGTGCTCCGGCCTCCCCCGCCATTCCCCTGGAGGGCTGGAACACACAAGATCTACTAGCCTGGGCCCCCGAAAACTCTGGTGTGCAAGGGGAGTGTCTGTCTCCTTCTCAGCTGGGGACCACATCAGAGAGGATTTCCCCCACCTCCTTCTCACTTATGTGTCGCCTCTGATTGATTTTTCTGTGGGTTAGCAGCCTCCGATCCAAAAAAGGTTCCCCACCCCTATCTTAAAGCGGGTAGGCAAAATTGACACACGGCTT